TCAAAGAAATTAAGGTTGTCCAGAGAGTAACCAAAATCTCTGCAAATCCCCAACAAAACCTCCTTTTTACTTTAAACTTTCGCTTTTAATTCCGGTTTTACTTTCGTCAAGCACGGTCTTATTCCATTTATACCCTGCACCTCATATTAGCTAATCCAGTGCAGCAACACACTGGATCTCATCCAGCTCATTACTAGGCACTTACATGGATTCTTCTTTTTGCGCCAACATCACCAGAGAGAAGGAAAATAGTAGTTGAAAGAAGAAGAAAAAAAAGACGAACAAAAGCCAACCATTTAGTCCGAAACTTTACTTTCAATTTATTCGGTCACACTGCAGTAGGGTACAAACTGAATTAACTGGATCTGAAGACAATACACCAGGCAACATGTTTGTTTGGTTTGGGGAATATAGTGACATGAATGGGGGCAGGTTTGGCTCTTTTTTTCCTTGTTGATGGTCAGCGTGGGGGGCTGCAGCAAGGTCCCGGTAGCCTTTGTGGTGACAATAACGAGCAGCAGGGAATGTGAAGCTTTGCTTGTGCTCAGCAGAGTTTATTAAAACTACAAAAAGGGTGAATGGCCACAGATGGTGCTGTCAATAACAATTCACCCAGCCATGCAAACACACACCCATGCACAAAGACAACACCCAGTGCCATACCACTGCATGTGAGCACATTACAAACACCCACAGATATAGAAGTTGTTTTTTTTTGGGGGGGGGGGGGGGTGTAAGTGTGTGAAAGGATGTGTGGTACTGTGGAGAAGTGATCCAGGAGGGGTTAGAATTACGTTAGTCTTGCAGCCTTTAAACTCCATCAACACTCTGCCAAGATGGAGCATCACACATCCACCAATGTACACCGCGGTATTGGTTACAACTTAACTGTTGTGGGAAGTGCAATACTGTTAGTAAAATGGCTCTTTGTGTGAACTGATTGGCTGTTGGCAAAAAGCAACGTAGAAGAAAGCTGAGCTGAAATTAGAGGCTTGGTGGTGTAACTACAGGTTGGTGTTAATGGGGAAAAAAAAATCTGACCGTTGCAAAAAGGGTCATGTTATACTGACAGCTGGCTTCAGAGCCATTCACACCTTCAAACTCACATCTGATAATATTTACTGAAGGAGGAGGCAAAGGTGACACTGGGAAATAGGAGTCTGCTCAGACAGCTGCTCTATCTGGATTAACCCAAAGTATGAAACAACCAACAAACAGTCCGTCAATCTATCAGCGACTAGATCAAATGTAACAAACTTCTAATGTTACAAATTCAATATTTACGATACTGACATTAATAACTGGAATACCAGAAACATGAAACTATGTACCCAAGGATGTAAAATTGGCTAATGGCTATTTTCGGGTTCTTTGTGAAATCCCTCTTCAAACTGATTTTGTCTAAACAGATTACTTTCTGAAGTATTGTGAAAACTTCCCAGTGTTTTATATCTCACAGTACTTCTTCTAGACTATTCTAAATAAATAAAGACAGCCTCTATAGACTACTCTCCATGCTAAAGCTTGGTAGCAGGCAGAGTTAAAGCAAAAATCCGTCCACATGATAACCTGACGTCACATGAACATCACATGAACATCACTTGCCTACTGGTGGTGGTCAGAGGGCCCGGTGGCGCCAGTGTTCGGCAGCCTCGCCTCTGTCAGTGCGCCCCAGGGTGGCTGTGGCTACAATGTAGCTGCCATCACCAGTGTGTGAATGTGTGTGTGTGAATGGGTGGATGACAGGTTGTGTAAAGCGCTTTGGGGTCCTTAGGGACTAGAAAAGCGCTATACAAATACAGGCCATTTACCATTTTTTACATGCAATGCATGATGATCCACAAGCACGCCCCCATGCATTTGAAGAGACGTAATTTGTGCTGATAGTAAAGTAAATTAACTAATCACACTTTTAACCACAAGACAACTCTTAGCTATTTGAAAAGTAATTACCACCATACAACCTCCCAGCAGTTTCCTTCCTTTAATCCCCCTGCGTACAAACATGGAGGGACCATTCTCTTTGTATGCAAAGGGGCAGAGCTCTGATTTCAAAGAGCAGTGAAGTCAGGTCAAGGGTCAGCCTTTATAATGATCCAGGAGAGGACCCCTGTCAGAGGTTTTAACGGGTTCTGCCATCTGAGTCACAACCCCCAGGACACAAACAGCAAGCTAGAGCCTGACATCAAACCGACATTTCACCCACAACATTGCAGACAGTGTTGCCCCGTTCCACCAGTCCACAGAAACACACAGAGAATTGCAATGTACCCACAGCTTTCACTTGCTGGTTTACAATTACTTTAATTGACTGCAACTGATGCACGTTATAAGGCACAAACAAACTCCACTGTCTAAACCCAATCTCCTTAATGTTTTTGTTTTCCCAGATCAAGCCGAGTCTTGATGTAGATGCCAATTCTTAGCAGTTATAAAGAATTAAATCCCCATGCAACAAAGCATTGTCAATAAAATGATAACTGCCTTCAATTGCCAAAATGACTTGCTTTACATTTCTCGTAGGAGGTTAAAAAAGGCTATTGGACGGGACTTATGAAACGAATGTTAGCTGAATGACAAACCAGGCCAGGGAACAGTAGTGTAAGACTATGTAGGAAAGCGTTCAGACAGTCACCGTGGAAAGCTACTTTAAATACATCACATTTACTGACTTGAATAGCAATCCCACTAAGCACAAGCGTGCTGAGCACAAATATGAAAATGATGAGTCGCAGGGAAAAAAAAGGAAGAAGCATGAATTGTTGGTGTAACGATGCAAGTCTCCTGTCAAAATCAAGGCAGAGGGTTTGAGGCTACAGATCAGTGTGCTTATGTAAGATGCAGCAAAACTGGCTTCCAGATCTCTGTCAAAATATTGTGAAAATTCTGTACTTTTTAAAAGCTGTGAGACGGGGAGAATATTGGCCAAAACATCAGAGTGTTGGCTCCAGTTGTTGACGTTTTTTAGGATGCTTGTTGTTCTACTTCTAAAGTAATCAATGTCTGTTCACCAGATTCTGCCTCTGGCTGTCACCGGTCATTGCAGATTAAATCCCACTCATTACCACCCTTAACATATAAAAGGCTTTACAATCGCTGAATCAGGAGCTGCTCTTCTGAATGCAGAAACCGTGCTACTACACTACAAAGCATTTTCTTCCTGTACTACTTACTCATATCCCAATGAGCCCAGCAGCTACCCCCCCACCCCAAAAAAAACAAAACAAGTCTTCCTTTGCAGGCGAACACCGACCTAATAAAGATTCCTCTTTTTCTGTTTAACAGACGACACAGTATTGATAAGAAATACAGTGTTTACCTGTGGTTAATTATAGCTAAAGATAAATTCAATCAGTCGTTTTTGGAACATACATTTGAAAGATAACAAATAATGCATCCCTCAGATGGAATACCCACGGGTTATTTACAATGCAAAAAGAACCAGAACAGTACTTTATGCAAATAACTGTGCACCGCCTGTGATGTTAACTCCCCCGAAGAAAAATATCCTACCTAGAGGATATTTACAATGCACGACAAGCTTCAGAGCATTAGCCTCAGAATTAGATTCAACAAAACAATACACTTAAACTTTGATTTACTGAGGCTCTTCTGGTGCTGTCAAGCAGCAGCTATTCTCAGCATCAGGTGCTTTTTATTAACACACCAACTTCCTCGAGACAACTGGGAGGCCAAGTCATGTCTTGTTTGACATCGTTTATGACTGTGCATCATCTTCTATTACTGGCTGAAAGCCCTTAGTCATCCTTACAGGGGGGTGCAGGGGGATGGGGTTCTGAACAACCCTTAGCAAATGATAGCTTGCTTTCATGCAATCTTGTAATTCCTCAACAAACACTTCTCTATACCCTTCTTAAAGCCCCACCAACCACCACTAACCTCTCCTCTTTTCTCAGCAGTTAAGGCTGGCTATGGGAGGTGAATAGGTGGCATTTCTGCAAATTAATAGCACTGAGGAACAGAGCTGGTAGGCTGGGGACCAAATCCCCATGGTTACCCTGGAGCAGCAACTGCCTTTTCTGTCTGGGAATAAGCCAACGGGGGACTTGAAGGAGACAAGATAAGTTAGGGGCGACATCAGTGAAGCACACCTTTAAATCACATACCTTAATCTAGGCACTGAGCAGTTTTATGTTTTAAAGTGTGTGTGTGGCATTAAGTGGGAAACAAATTGGCATAGAATACTAACCATCCACTACTTCTTAAGTGCCCCTGAGCAGTTCACTCAAAGTTAATTTGTGTGTGTCTGTGATGCCTGAACTTGTCCTTTCTCACCTCTCCAGTTGCATAACCTTGCTGTGATATTATGGGAACAATGGCTTAACGACAAAAGTCCCACACCAGCTAGAGTTCAAGAAAAAATCTCAACAGTAACAGGTAGTTATAACACACAAGCGTGACTAAAAATGCAACAGGCCAAGTGGGAATAATTACAAGCATCTCGGTTGTTAAGGACAATGTGTGGACATACAGCCTTAAAATAACATTTTTTATTTTATTTATTTTTAAAGGCTACAGGCCTGAAGCCATGTGAAAGACAGTGATCGCTTCTTTGAACCAGTGTCAGTCTATTGAGCGTTCTCAGTGGTTTTCACACGCAAAACTATGCAAGACTAAAAACCCTTCCTGAAATGTGACTAATGATTTATTTTGCTGACTACATCCCTAACTTTGTCCTGCTGGCACAAATATTATTGAGCTGTGGCAGCCCTCCAAGTCATTTTACAGATATCCAAGTTATATGAAGGCTGGACCTCTTGGAAAGACATGTCCTCGTTTGACTTGACCAAAAGGGGGTCATTTACACCAACTTTCTTTCTTAATCCACCTCACCACAAGTCATAGCCAGTGACCACAATCACTAGCTATGACTCATGCAGGTAGTGATGAACCAGCCTGGTCCCAATTAGTCCTTTCTCGGTTCTCCCAGCAGCTCCTACAAGCGCATTTCCCAGAGAAACATTTAACCCTCCCCTTACCTTTGACTTGACTCTCGTAGTCCGTGATAATTTCTTTATCCTTTTTGAACCTCGGTGTGGACATTTTCCGTCTTCCTATGTCCGAAACTTGTTGTAAACTTCTTGTATAAAGAAAAAAAAAAACTGTCAACAAGCGGGATCCTACAGCTACCGACGCATCCCAAACAACACGAGAAAAATGAAAGCCAGGGGAAGAAGCACCGAGATTTTTTTAAGACTCTTAGTGGGATTTAAGTCTGCAGCGAGACTTGGAAAAAGGAGGAAATGTTTATCGCTTCATTGTTCTTCTTCCCTCGGGATACGCGGCGGATACACGGCTGGGCCAATGCGCAATCCTGCTCCAACCAATGAATCCTCTCAACTATCCGAGCAGTCGGCACAGCGCGACAGCGCTGCTGAAACCACAGAAGAAGAAGAAAAAAACAATCGCGCAAGTTTAGGGTCCTTCCGGCAGAAGTAGTGTCAACAGCATGTCCGAAGGCTTGGAAGTCGGCTTGAATGATTAAGAGTCTGCGCCGCTTTGGTGGTGGTTTCCAGTTTGAGACCCACACATCCACACGTCCCCCCCCCTATGCTCGCTCTCCCTCAACGCTTTCTCGCCCCCCACCCCCGACCCTACAACTCAACTCCCAGCAGGCGAAAAGGCAGACAGGGCAGGCAAGCCGACTGCAGCACGCAGCAGCTGGAGGTAGGAAGGACAGGGAGGGAGGGATCTCCACAGTAGTGGACATCCGCGCCCTGACGGACACTCCTGCTGCCAAACCTGAAGGCTTTTTGTCCTTATTAGGGACAAACTACTTATACGTAACTTGAAATAGACGTCACATTATATTAGTTTTGCATTCAATATTTTCTTTCTAAATCAAAATAAAACGACATTTTTAGGGTTTTTTTTTATTATTATTTACAGACATTGAGTGCTCTACAGGGTAGACTAAACGTGTGGCCGCACACCTGTGCACAGCTCTAGCTGAAATACAGCGAGAAACCCCAAAATTCCTGGTAACGACCACGCATCAATATATTCTTAGCTAATATCGATCTGTGTCCTATACATCTCAAATACACTAGTTTGGTAGACATCCAGAAGTTTCTCCTTAGTTTTACGGCATGTTTCGTGTTTATTGGCTTATGTGAAAAGTAAGTTTCCCCACATATAAATTTTTTTTATCAACTTAAAAAAGCGTCTGCATTACATTTCACTGGAGATCATCGCATCCACTGACATTTAGCTGGTCCACAGCGCCATCTGCAGGCACAATGAAAGCACAACCTCACATTTCTGTTCAGGACAATGCTCCATTTTATTTTACTGCACTGTCTTTAAAAAAAAAAGAAAAAGAAATCCCCACACACATGCAGCACAGAACTGAAATAAATATAAAACAGCTGATTTTTTTTTTTACCACAAAGCAAAACATTTCATCCCAACCACATCCATTTGCAAGCAGCTCACAAAGAGAAAAGATTTCAAAAGGATATCAGGGTGTTAAAAATGGTGCAAACACATTGCAATCTCTTCGACACATATTATTTAGTGTTTCCTAAAAATCACAATAAGAATTACTTAAAAACACATAAAACATACTTAAAGTAAATTAAGGGTTGTTTTTTTTTAAAATGCAAAGGCAGTTCATAATCCTCTATCTCTAAATTCCTGTACATTCCACAGTTGTAAACATTTAGATGATGAATATACTTAAATATCACGAGGCCCCTTTCTGACTAGTAATGGCAGCTTTACAACTTTACTACACACATAAATTATTTTTTAATAACCTGCGCCAGAATATTGAAAAGAACATCACCACTTTCACTATGTCAGTAGTACATCACATTTCTCCACAAACCATAAAATAAATAAAATCAGTTTTAACTGTCAACCACCCCGTTGATATTTAGAAGCACCACAGTCAGCCGTTTTTGAAGAAGGTCTCTTCGATGACCTCGGTGAACCTTTCCTTCATCTGCTGACGAAAGCTGGAGTACCACTCCAGCAGCCTCCTCCTCCTGTCCACCCTCTGTTCCTGTGTCATCCCTCTCTCCCTCTGCAAGATGGCTGGGAGCTCCTTCCAGTCGCTGATGAAGATGAAGGGCGCCCCTGCAGCTTTTAGGAGTCGTAGCGGGGAGCTGGGCCCTGCTGCACAGCTCCCAGGTGTCATCACATCTTCCACCACGGGCACGGAGCCATAAGAGCAGGCCTCGTAGATGCGGTAAGACTCTGTGTTGATCCCAACTGGGCAGAGAGTGAGCTCGCTTTGGGCCAGAGCTGTCTGATAGCGTCTCAGACTGTCTGCTGTCTCCTGAGGGAGCCACCTGTGGCAGGTAAGAAGGGGAGATATTTCAGTCAACAGTTTAAGCTACCCCTATAAACACAGAAATATACTATAATATTGTTCCATGTAATTTACATTTAGAACTCAAAGCTGTCTCACCTCAGCTCCATTTATTATTAAACAAGTCAGAAAAGTAAACTTAAATGAAGTGTTTCTTGGTACAAAATTGCCATAACCTAAATATAAGTGGAAAACTGAGCACGTGTCATAATTATCTATGCCTATATAATTAGGGCTTGATTATCTTAAAGGCTTAATTTTATTATTTACTTTCTTTATTTAAAAATGTATCTGAAAGCCTTAGCTGCTCACAGTAAAACCAGGGAACAAGTGTTTGTGTTGATGTGGCAGCGTTCAATGATTTAGCACATCAGTTTTTCTTGATATTAAAAGATTTAAACCAGCAATGGGATTTTCTTAGACGAATGGCTTAGATGAATTATCTGTAGGGGTACACACTGAATAAATCAATCATAACATAAATATTGCTAACATTAAAAATTAACAATTAAATTCTTTATCAGCCCTTAAATTAGCATTTATCTTGCCAGTTGTTTGATCTTCGCTACTGCGTAGATTACTGATGAACCGCACTGCACTGAAATGGACTTAAATGGCAGTGAAGACTTATTGCAGTTATTCTCCTTGACGTTCCTTAGCATAATCCTCTTTCTTATTCATTTTTCTTTTTCTTTAAGGAGATTTTGGTCAGATTCAGTTGATTTGCCCTATATTTTGCCCACATGTGGATTAAAAGCTTAGGCCTCTGTGATGTCTAATTTTAACCAAAGTCGTTTGGTTCCCTAAAACTTAAATAAGTTTTGAATTTCACTATGCAAGACTAATAATTTGAAACCGCTTGACCATGAAGCTTACTGTAGACATTAATAGTTTCACAAAGATACACTAGGACGGCCTTAGTGGCAAGATGTTCTTTATACTATTCTAAATATCTCAACTTTTTGTCCTCTTGTTATAGCTGTGTTATAGCACAGTCAGCCAAAGTAAAAATAATCCAGCCAATAAAAAAGTAAAAGATTTTATTCTTTCAGATAAGGCAATGAAACAGGTAATAAATAGTGACTTACTTTTCCCTCCCAGTGGTGATGCAATCCTTTTCCAGGCCAGACTGTGTCAGAATATGCATGAGTGTTTCTCTGGAAGAATTTTTGTAAACAGTTCCTAAGAAATTGCAGAGGTATGGCCGGTTGGAGGTAATTAACTGGGCATTAGGCCTGATAATTGGAAACTGTCTGTATCTGTACAGAGACAAAATCGTGGCATTATATTAGACAGCGTTACTAATTCAAAGAGGAAACATGACACATACACACAAATTAGACAATAAGCGAGGACATACGTAGCAACACCAAGAGGCCACTGAAAGACATCCTTGTCATTGACCCAGGGGCTATCATACACTACAAACAGGAGGTCCACAAAGCCACCATTTCTCTTCAGATGTGGGCTGATCCAGTTGTTGTTGCAGTGCTCATTGCCCAGCAGAACCACAGCAACGTGAGACACTGTATTGGACTGAACCAGAGTTTGGACGTGCTCCAGCCACCGTGTGGAGTAAGTGACTTTTTGCTTTTCGCGGCCATTGAGAACCAAAACCAGACTATTCATGTCCAGAGGCACATGACCCTGCACCACTGCAGGACCTGTGTAGAAACTAGAGACAGAGTGATTTACTAGGATGGGGTCACATTTTTTTCAGTAAATATGTAATTAAGGCTCAAGTGCAAACTATATGTTTGTGCTTTTAAACTTTCTATCTCTGATCTGTTACCTGAAATCAATCTTCCCTGACTGCAGCTCCCCCTCTCTCCATTGTGCTACCTTGTCAGTGGGGTTGAGGGGGCCCTCTAAAACATGTTCCCAAAGGTAAAGCCCTGTAAAGAAAATAGATAGACGAATGACGGTTATTCTGTAGGCCTCCAGGTATGAGATAAAATATATGTAAAACCATAATATCTTGCCACAGAGCAAATTCTTTCCATTTTTAGATGACATCAAAACCTCCTTTCAGGCTGTGACACATTAGATCATGACCTACCTATTGCAGCTTTCCCCCATATCTGGACCTTGTATCTTTTGGGTTTGTTCTTGTCAATTTTACCCAGGTACTGTTTGAAGGCCTCTCTCTTTTTGTTCAAAGCAGAGTTGTACTCCACCTGTTCATCCTCCCACGGATTCCACTCATCAGCAACGTATGGAGCACCGCCATCCCTTACACCACCTACAAACCCAACACACCGTTATCTATTCAATTTTCTTTCCACGCGAAATTAAATAAATATCATTTTAAATTATCGGCTCCTGTTGTTAGGCGGCCCTCCTGCTCCGTGAAATTACCCGATTGTGCTCCCGTCTCTTTCTTCACCACCCTGTGAACGCGGGATAGTACTTTGGTGCTGAAGAAAACATTATACGCAGCATAGAGTGAAAACGCTACATATGCAAAAATAAGGAGAAGGAACAGCTTTCTTTTTGGTATTTTCATTGTTCTCCCCTTTTTTTTGTCAGGTTACCATGGTGTATGTAGCTCGGTTTCTGTTGCAAGGACCCTTGTTTACATCACAAGGACCCTTGGATTTAGCTGACGGAGAAAAATGCCTGTACTAAAACATTTGTGTTTAGTTTGTAGGCTTTAGGGTCAAATTATCGTAACGTGTTAAAACCGACATTAAGTTGAAGAAGTCAGACAATATTTAATAACGATTTTTTTTGTAGAGGAGGAAAAAGAAAGACAGTTAGGTTAATGCGGAACTTTAAAAAGAGTTCGGAGACAGTTTCCGGTACAGAAGATTAGAGTGCTACACACAAGTTACGTACCGGAGATTGTACACGCAAGGTCGTGTCCCCAACTGTGGGGTTGAGAAATCTTATCTTGGGCGAAAATGATGTCCATAACCGCTCGTCCCGGGGCTTTTCCCCCGTTTCTCCAGACAACAAAGCATGCACTAAAAACTTTGATGTCTCCGGGAGCCAAAGAAGTGGCCGTTGTTGCTGGTAAGGCCCAGTGACGAGCGTTATTATTGTTAGCCGGGGTTGCTAATGAGCAGCATGAGGATAAAAGGATAAAAAAAAAACGCAGTACCGGCGTCTTAATTATTCTATAACATCTTAATGCTGTAAAATGTGAAACCTATTTTCGGAGGCTTCTTGAAAACCTATCGTAAACAACTTGCGATGGCTAGCAGGACGTTGGAAGGGTAATGGGCAATCTTTGACCTGACTGACAAATAGGACCCGAATAACAGCGTAGTGGAATAAGGAAAGATGACAATAGAAGGATCTAAAGAAATATAATAATATATATTTAAAGAATTCCATTTGCATGGAGGTGGTTACATAAGAC